GCAACGGTCAGTGTTCCATTTAGCAGATGAGAAAATTGGGGAAACAGTGGTTAAGATACTTGCCCAAGATCACATGACTAATATGAGTAAAGCCAGGACAGTCAGAGTACAGAGCGTGTGCACTCCTCCCCCTTACCATGCCTTTCCGTGCTGCATTACGTGGCAAAGTAGCACGTGGAATGAAAACCATTAGGGTTTACAAAGAGGATACAGCAGAAACTGGCTCTGCCTTGGAGGGTTTTCATTCTAGTTCAGGGGCAAGACGTGGCGATAGAATTGTCGATAAAATACAGAAGACCCATTTACAGATGAATTCCACATAAACATTGAATAGTTTTAGATGATTACATCTCAAAATTTTGCACAGGACATATTTATACTAAAAATTATTTGTTTCTTAAAACTTAAATTGAAGTGGACATTACATTTCTGATAAAAAAATTTCAAAAAAACATAAGTATATCCAAATATTACATTTATCCTAAAATACCTATTTGTTGTTGATCTGAAATTTCAATTTAACTGGCTATCTTGCCTTTTTATGTTGCATCTGGCAACTTTACATGGAGAGTACTTAGAAAGCATTGAAAAACTTACGTTGGTGCAGTATATACACTATACTCTGCCTTATCCCCACCCCGGGTTCCCTTTTCCCCCTCCTTCCTTCTCTTCTTCTATACTTCTTCCTGTGGGGCCCCTCTTCCCACAGCATGCACTTCATCCAGAATACATAGCAGCAAGTTCTACAGCAACGTCCCAGGCTGTCCAGCCGTCAGCATGGAGACATTTTCTTTCTGCCCCGGTGCCCAGCCCTGGGGTGTGTCCCGTAACTCCTGAGGTCTCCACTCTCTTCCAGGAACACTCTTCCTCTTGGCTCTCCCTAGTTGCTCTTCCCAGCCCTCCACCCCACCCCAGACATACGTTTCACCGGTCCCCACCCTGCCCGGTGGTGAGCACTGGTTTGCATCAGGTCACTTTGTGCTCATTAACATTCACCTAAGTCACGGGTTGCGGGGGGGGGAGGTGAAGGGAACGAGGCAGCAAAGTCTGGCTACCTCTTTGTCCTCTCTCTGAGATAGGCTTTCACGGGAATCGGGGTGAGCTGTTGGGGTGGGGTGGGCGGGTGCTCTGAGCACACTGGCTAACAGTCACCGCCTGTGTACTCTCTCAGATGGGGGCGTTCCACTGGCTATTTTAAGGCCAGACTGGCGAATGCTGGGTTCCCCTTCGTTTACCTAGGCTCTCAATATTTTCCCTGGCATGCATCGAGGTGGTCACAGAATGTGGGAAGCCAGGCAAGGGAAAAAATTAACGCTCTGTGATGACGCCCCTGCTAGCTGCTGCTAAGTTCCATGGAAAAGACGGGGGCTGAGGGGAGTGGGGAGCACACTATCTGTGTCTATGGGTGTCTCTGAAAGCTTTTAGCTATATTGGCACCTACTCAATTCTAGAGATGGTGGCAAAGGAAAATTGGCTGCACAGCCAGCCCGAGGCTGGCCCAGGAGCCCCAGCTCACCCACTCCTGTGGAGCGCCTCTGCCCACAGTGAATGCCCCTTTATCGTCAGGGAGCGATACTGACTTTTCAAAAACACTGTGTGGGCCTTGTATCCCAGATGCCTGCGGCAGGCAGCCTCGGCTTCCCCTTCAAGGGTGTTGGCTTCCAAACCCACCCAGAAACCTGAGAAAAAATGTCTCCTCTTGGCATCTCCGGAGGCTGACTCCAACTGCCTTCTGTTTCTTAGCCCACCGGCCACAAGCTACCTAGCGGACGGTTATTACAAGGGAAGGAAGCAACTTCAGTACTGGGAATTACACAGCAAGCAAATCACAGTGAATTCAACGTTTCACAGGGAGCATTCCTTGCATCACTTAAGGCTCACGTGATAAAGATGGAGTCCATCACCTTCCATGAATTGCACATTGGCTTTGCAGGAAGGTTCCATTGACCTTCTGCAGGCTGGGCTCTCTTGCCCAGCACTGTTCCATGGGGGCCAATAGCAGCATCTGAGTCCCAGTGTAGGTCTGAAGTTGGGTGAGTGGTTGGGTATTGGTTTTTCCCATGGGTCAAGCATTTGTGAAATGCTTACTGTGCACCAGGCACGTGACCAGTCACTTTACATACCTTATGCTTTGTGACCATTACGACAACACCATGTGCTGTCACTGGACCTGCCTGACAGGTGCCAGGTTCAGTGGCAGCTTGACTATGGCCACCAGACAAGGTCAGCCTGGAATACCTCCTGTGCCAAATCTTCCTTTATGTTAAGTCTCACTGATAGGAAAACTTTTCTCTTGAGGACACGCCCATCAAACTGCAGCTCTGCTTCACTCTTTCTGGAAAAAGCTGATTAGACCTGAAGTTGAGGGGTCACCTTGTAGATTTCTCATTTATCACGTATTTGGGACTGAGTCCTGTTCAGATAGAGGTGATAACGTCTCACTACTCTGTAGTCAAATAGAGTAACAAATCCCTTGCCCACAAGTGGTTGTCATTCTGTCATACCTGGATGGTTCTGGTGACTGGAGGACCACATGTATCTTTAGTTGGTCAGAATACAGAAACTATGAGATGTGGTCTCCCGCTGACTTACATCGGACTTCAGGACATCACAAGCAAATCACTCGAGACTATTAAGAGTGGGTCCAGGGGGTCCATGAAACAACGCCTCATGTGAACTTTTGTTCCCGTAAAGGTAATGTCCAGCTTACAAGCTCTGTGTGTTGCTTTCGAACTTCCTGGTTGGAAGTGAGTGCTGGAAAAGTGGTCCAAGTCCCTGGTATTTGACTAGGTTTAGGCAGAGGCATGATTCCAGTTTCTTTCTTGCTTTCTTTTTTTTTTTTTAAGATTTTATTGGGGGAACTGGGGGAGGGGAACAGCGTTGGGGAATCGGGGAAAGGGAACAGACAAGTTGCTGTCCTTTGGTTCTTCAGTCTGGTTGTGAAGGACGTTGCTTCACTGGCCCATGTTGGTATTATCATTACACTTTTCCCGGGTGAGGCAGATTGGTCACTGGCCGTTGGACAGCCACTCATGGCAGCTCACAGCAGCTCATGCCAGCTGACAGACATTCACGGTAGCTTACAGCAGCCCACTGCAGTCCCACTGCAGCTCCACTGCAGCTTACCCCATCGCCGGCGACTCACGGCAGCCCAGCTCCAGGTCGAGCTGTTGTTCACCATCTTAGCTGTAGAGGGCGCAGTGTCACTGACCCTCATGTGGGATCCGAACTGGGGCCTTGCTGCTCAGAGCTGGTGTCCCAAGCCAACTCCTAACCAACGCGCCACTCAGCCGGCCCTGATTTCAGTTTCTATGGATGACTAGGTTCCCCTTGTGGTCCCAGTTCCCAGTATTTCTTCTATTGATCCACACATTCTTTTTTACTTCTGTAATATTTGTTATTTTAGGAAGATTTTTCAGAGAAGCTTGATGACTTTCTACCTGAGATATTAAGTGTTCTTGATCTATTTGTTTTTCTCCATCTTCAATGTAAACAATTAAAATTGAAGTGTCATTTACTGAGATACCAAATTTTTTCAAAGTCTCTGAAATATTGTTATTTGGGGAAAGGTTGGAAATAATTTCAGTCGACAGGGTTCTCATCTTTGTTTTTCCCAGTGTGTAGAGGTGAACTGCTTTGTTTGCTGCCACAAGTATCTGAACTGGATCAATGATCACTGCAGGGTTTACTAATGAACCATAGATGGCAATTTCTATGGCCTTTTTTCCTAAGTCTCCAGCATTTTTTGCATCTTTAAATAACAAAAGGGTTACCCTGCATTCAGGAAATAGGTCCAGCTGATAAGTTAACTGCATTTCATAGAGAAGCAGGATTTGCCACCTCCCCATCCTTCTTGGAATCTCTTGTTGATATTTTTATTGTAAAACATAAATATGGAGTCTGTTATTTACCAGGAAATTTGTGATTTATAAAATGCAAACACAGTTTCAAGACTCAGACAGACATCACACTTTCATAGCCATCCTCAGATTAAAAAATTCTAAACATTTAAAATAAGTGGGAAGCGAGCTTGATCGCAAAGTGAAATTTTTAAAAGCTCTTCTCTGTGTTGAGGTCTTTAAGTGACAAGGTATGTTGAACACGCAGGAAGGGCGGCTGTCATTGAGTATAATGCATCAGAGAAACCCTCATAGGTGGCTCAGATTCAAGACAGGTTTTGAAGACTTGGAAGGTCACAGAGAGGCCGGCTCCAGGAAGGGGAAAGGTTTGAGCAGGATGGAGAGGGGAAGTGAGGCAGTCGGCATGGTGGTGGGTGGTGGGAACAGGGAACAGAAAGAGATTCACTTAACATTATGGAAAGAGCAAAGCTGTGTTGCGAGGAAGGGAAATAATAAAGAAGAAGGGATAAATGAAGGACGTGAGTGCTTGCTAGGCTGACTCTCTTCTTTAATGAAAACTAATTTTCATGGCGGCCCGTCAGATTCCACAGATGGCCATGATCTTCTCTCTGCAAGCGCATTATGCCTGCTTTAAAGGGGGAGTAGGAAAAGTCACGGCATAAACAAGGCTCAACAGAGAGTCTGTTTACAAATTTTGCCTCCACACAAATGAGAAAAATACTTCAGCATAGAAAATAAAATGGGCATGAGTGTAAAGATAAAAATAGGAGGTGGAGAGAAATTTCATATTTTCAGCTGGCCGCTCCCAGGCCCCGAGAGACCTTTTTTGTTTCTTTTAACTTTTCTCTGCTATTAGCATTTATTTGGATAAAAACTTTGAGGAATACTGCACTCCATTCTGTCACGAGCGTTCACCTCTTGGTTTGTCCACTCAACACAAGATGTGCCATGAAAAACATTTGCACCTTCAAATCAACGTGGTATCAAAACAGCGAAGGCAAACACTGTTAGAATACACAGGAACAATTTGGGCAAAAAACCCACGTGTAAACCCAAACAAGCGCGAAACCACAAAAAATCAGCAAAGGGAGGAACTTCTGTTAAGCGTTTTCTTGATCATCTTTTCCCTTCCTTTCTCAGGTAACGGGTGGTGAGACCCTTGGAAATCTCCAAGAGAAGCTTCAAGAGTCAACTCCACCAGTAGTGCCTGCAGTTGGAACACTGATGCTGACGGAAGAATCTGTAGTGTCTCTCACAAGCGATGAGGCCAAAGAGTGTACCTAGTTCCTGGCACCGAACACGAAAGAAGATGTCCCAGGAGAGAGTAGGTTTCCTACTGGTTTGTTGTCAAAGACCGTGCTCCTTTTCGTCCTTTCTTTTGGATAGATGCAGACATACAGCAACTACTGAAAGGATTCAGTCAGAGAGAGGATCTGTCACCACAGGAGGGTAATGCTGCTGTCAGTAATAATTTTAATGATAATAAAAATAACATCTAAGATTTATGGAGCAATAACTAGATGCTAAGCACTGGGATAGCAGTTCTCGAGCAGGGGTGATGTTGCCCCATTGGGGACATCTGAAATGCCTGGAGGCATTTTTGACTGTCACAATGGAGGGCTGGTGGCATGTAGGTGGGTCAGGGAGGGTTGCTGCTGGCATCTAGTGAGTGGAAGCTAGAAATCTGCTAAACCTGTAATGCACAGGACGTGCCCCCATAACAAGGAATTACCCCACTTGAAGTGTTGAGTAGCCCTGCAGCAGACTGAGGTCTTTACATATATTTAACCTCTGAAATAGCCCTACGAGGCACATATTATTGTCCCCGCCTTACAGATGAGAACATTTAGGCCTAAAGTAATTAGTTCAAATTGTTTTGACCTTGGAACACCCTCAGGTTCCTTTCTTCAGATCTATTTGGTTCTATGATAACTGCAGAAACTTTAGGTTTGTTCAATGGCTGGGAATCGGTTCCCTCAAATGTCAGCATGAAAGCTCTTCAGCTCCAGCTGACCCAGCCCCTTCCCCATTCTGGGATGAGACTGGCTAACTATGACTGGGGCAGGGGGAAGAAGATATTATACAAGGTCTACAAAAGTGATGAAAAGTTGACTTAGCTCCTAAGATAAGCAAACAGGAAGATAGCAACTGAAAATCTACAGTGATTTAAAAATCTGTTTTCTAAGCGTGGTGTCCAGACTGTTCCCTCACACCCTCTGTTCTTTATTCCTAACTTCTGATAGTCATGCGGCACGTGCTGCTGAGAAAACAGAGGCCTGGATGCCGTGGGGCTCAGACAAGAGTGGCAATCTCGATTCTGCAGCCTTATACAGAATTAGGTCATAGAATTCCAAGGGTGTCAGGTCCTCAGGAAGACAATTTCTGCTTTTTTTTTTTTTTCCTGTTTGATAAAAGCCAAGCCCCTTGTCAAAATATTTGTGACTAGAGACAGGGAATCAGACATTTTCTTTTGAACCATTTCTCTGCATCTGGCTTGGGTGTTCTGACCAGTTCTTCTCTTTCCTCGGCTCTTCTTTTCTTTCCTCCTCTCCATTGCCTCCCAACTTTTTCACAATTCTCTCTGTTTCCATCTTTCCCTCTCTCCTTATAGCATTGCCCATGCGAAATGGGAAGGGAGGAAGGGGAGGAGGATTGCTTAAATAATGCGAGTGACCAGCCAGCGGGCAGGCTGGTGTGGCTGGCTCAGCAAGAACAATGATCTCATTAATGGACTCAGGAGGCACCAACTCCGAAGTCATCTGAAGATGAATGAAAACCCCGTGATAAGCTGGGTACCACAGGTACAAATTCAAATATTTTTTTTTTCCCCTCACAGTTTTCAAAAACTTTCTGCCCTAACCGGCTTTCGGTGTTCCTACCACTGGTGCATATTTCTATATTGTTGCTGTTATTTAAATGAACTGAATTCAATGGAACTCAAAATACAGGTTAATTTGACAAACATTTGTTAAACGTGTATTATGGGGCAAGATGAGTATGCTATGACTGAGCCTTACCCTGGAGGAACTTGACATTTTGGTGGGAAAAATGAATAAATATACATCCAATTGTCACACAGGTAGATGTATTAATATTAGTTACCTATCTCTGCGTTCCAAATTCCTCCAAAACGTAGTGGCTTAAGATAGTTCATATGTAGCATTATGCAGTTTCTGTAAGTCAGGAATCTGGGTGTGGCTGAGCTGGGTCCTCTGCTGTAAGTTTTCTCACAAGACTAATCAAAGTCCAGGCTCTCCGATGGCATTATCTGGAGCCTCAACTAGAGAGGTTCACTTCTAAGTTCACTCATTGGTTGCTGGAAGGATTCAACTCCTTGATGGTGATTGGACTGAGGGTCTCAGTTGCTCACCAGCTATTGGCTGGAGGTCCCCCTCAGTCCCTTGCCACATGGGCCTCTCCTACAGGGCAGCTTGCCATCAAAGCTGAGAAGGCAGCAGAGAGTCTGCTGGCAACACCAATGTCACCATTGTACAGAAGCTAATTTTGGAAGTGACAGCCCATCACGTTTGTGTATTCCATGGATTAGAAGTGAATCATTAGGTCCAGTCCACACTGAAAAAAGAAAGGATTACACAGGGATTGACTGCCAGGAAGGTGTGTGTGTGGGTGGGGGTGGGGGAGGTGTTACTGTGTCAGAAATGAGTACCACACAAAGGTGAAGGAGTTGTTAAAGAAAGCGTCATGATTCTGTCAAAGCAGGAAGTGGTGTAAGAAATCTTATCTTTAACCAGAGGTATTTTCTGATGCTATGGATACTGGCCTACTCTAGACGATTTTGGCATCTATTAGTGATTCGTAGAATAATTCCAGACTTGCAGAATTTGCGATTGGAGCCTTGGGAGCTCACGTAAGATATTATGTCCCCAATTATGAAGAAACCTGACCCTTAGCAGTGTCCCAAAAGTCACAGTTATAGTCATGCTGTTCAGTATCTGTCTCGAGGAAATTTCTGTAGTCAACTGTTCATTTTGTTGCTGATTTTTTCACTCATGTTATGTATCAGTTAATACTAGCTAGCAAAATTCAAAGAGGAATTACTTTCGAGAAACTGGATAATGAAACTCAAAAATGAGTCAGATTTACCTTTGACTGAGGGTCTCTCCTCAGTCAAGACCAGGGGCCAGCAGTCTATGTCTTGTGGGTTAAATCTGCCCCTCCCTTCTCAGTGTTTGTATAGCTCATGAGATAAGGATGGTTTTTAGGGTTTTTTGATATTTGAAAAAACAAACAAAAGAAGGAGGATATTTGGTGACACATGAAAATAATATAAAATTCAAATTGCAGTGCCTATAAAGCTTTATTGGGACACAGCCACGCCCATTGATTTAAATTTGTCTATGTCTGTTTTTGCCACAAAAGCAATGCTGAATAGATGCTCTAGATAGGGTATGGCCCAGAAAGCCTAAAATATTTACTACCTAGCCCTTTAAGAGAAAACTTGCCCACCCCTGGTCTAGAGGAAGATTGACATTCCAACAAATAATTACTGCATTGTGATATGTGATAGACAAGACGTACAGAGTCACCAGGAGCTCAGGGGCGGGGGTTCTGTGTCCCTAAGCGTTTCTGGGCTGGTCAGGGAGGCTTTGTGGAATTCTCCGTGAGGATAAGTAGGGGTTTTCCTAAAATGGAAGGTGTTAAGGAAACACTTATGCACGGCACTTGTTCAAGATGGTAGGGAAGACTTTATGTAAGAGAGACTAACTACCACAACGGCGTTTTGTAGTGAGGGCGAGAAATAAGGCTCAACTCTGAGTACAACAAGCACGCGTGGAAATTTATAGCCAAGGAGCAGGGTGGGGGTCAGTCAGTGGAAAATTGCTAGAAGGAAACACCAAGGGTAGAGGGATTCTGGCTAACCCAACTGGACAGGATTTTTGCTGAAGGCTGGCTGGGGTGATGAGATATCTGGATGTGAGATAAAGAATTTGATCAGATGTCAACGGTGGGGAGTTTTTGCAAAACTGATGTAGCAGGACTCTTGTTAAAACTAGACTAAATGGTCCAGCGACAGAGCCCAGGGTTGGACCTAGTCAGCAATGGGACTCAGGCGCCTGACTCAAGTTCAGTCAAAGGAGAGAATCTTTGAGTCTTTCTTTGTGAGAGGAGAAAAGGAGGAAAGAATGATCTTTCGAGGGTTCTTCAGTGGGTGACCATGGACGCTTTAGCAGCGGTTCTCAACCTTTCACAGGGGTCGCCTAAGACCATCGGAAAACACATATTTTTGATGGTCTTAGGAACCGAGACACCGCTCCTCTATCCGTCTCCAGGCCCACATGCAGATACGCCCACATACGAGTACCCGGCGACCCCTGTGAAAGGGTCGTTCGACCCCCAAAGGGGTCGCGACCCACAGGTTGAGAACTGCTGCTTTAAAGGGTTCAGGTACTCCCGGAAATTGCCCAAACCAGTGTTTATATGCATATGTGCATTTTTTTTTCCCTAGGGAGGGGGTTCATCCCTTTCGACGGGTTTGCAATAGTCCAAGAATCACTATTGTGGGCAGACATGGCAGCCTGTGGAACGCTACAAAGGTGTAAAAGAGAATAACACACTAGCAGGGGTCAACAGTGAAAATGCAGGTTTCTATGAGGTATAAATGGAAATGAGGCTAAAGAACTGTCACCCGCCATCAGACGGATAACCCAGGACCTGGATGTATACAGTTTCAAGCACTAACTAGCACAAGGATATTGGACAAAACCAAGTTCAACACGTTCGGTGTTTGCTTTAAAGTGGCCACTCCATCAAAGGCAGCTGATGGCTGGGCAGGAACTCGGCCGCCCTACAGAGAGGCCATGGGCTGGCCGCTCGCTGTGTTCAAGCTCGAGGCGCTGGCCAGGTGTCCAAGTCTTTCATCAATCCTTGATCCAATCCTATCCTCTTTCCCCTTCCCAACCAAAACAACAGTGACTAAATGTGCCCCTGGCCCCAAGAAAGTGTGGCCGATCAGCACGAGGCCGGCACAGCCCCAGCTCCCTCTTCAAGTCTTTACACTGGATTGTGCTGTGGGCACGCAGAATACGGAACTCCCACTCCCGGGAGGGAGGGATCCTAGCTAGGACTGAGGGGGATGGAGGCTCTGGACATGAGGTGCGCGCGCGGGGAGGAGGTAATGGTTTTCGCTGAATTCCTTTTTATATTTTATTTAGATTAAGTTCTGCTCAGCAGGGTGATTTCTTAATTAGAGCCGCCCAGCCAGGCAGACCTCCAGCTCAGACCCCTGTGCTGCCTTCTAAGGTTTCATGAGGGACCTTGTCTTGCCTTATTTCCTGAATTCTAATATTTGAATAGTATGCAGTAGATTTCAATGGGAAGAAAAGACATGTAATTTAATCATCCTTATTAGGTTTTGCCTGTGGATGGGGAGAGGGGAAGGAAGGAAGGAGTGTCTTCTTTTTGTTAATTTCTTTTTTTTTTCCTCTTTTTCTCTACCTTTCTTCCAGTGGTCAGAGAAGGAGGAGACACACTGACCTTTTATTTTTCCTTCATTTTTTTTCAAACAAAGACGCTGGACGAGAGCATCAAGCCCAAAAGAGAAGCGTGTTCCAGGCAGGACTTCTTGAGGCTTGGTGGAGAGATTTACATCCACAAACCATTCAGTGCGTCCTTTGGTAACCTTGACCCTGAGAGTGAATGTGATGACCCTGCAGCTTTTGGTCCTCTCCATCCCTACAGAAGCTGCAGACTGTACTCAGAGAGACCTCACAAAATGGAGGCAAGTTAAAGAGAGAAATGGTCCATGGCGTATTCTCTTACCTTCCATAAATTGGCGTCACTTTGGGCCACCATCCAGGGGAGGAAAACCAGCCAATAGAAACAGAGAAAGAAGATTAGAAACTGATGCAAGGAAGGAGGTTTGTCGTGTTGCTGTCCTCAGGATGGGGTAAGAAAAGTGCAGGATTCAACAAGAGCAACAGTCAGCAGGGGCTTTTTTAGGGGAAATAAATCTACTGAGTTTTCTGAGAGAGAGAGAGAGAGAGAGAGAGAGAGAATTCAGCATGGCACACCAAAAAGGAAAAGAAAACAGAAATTGTGTCCAGAACTCTCGCAATTGTCCTGCTAAATACAAAGACACCCACCCCTCTTGTTTTCTGCTTCCCATACCAATGGATACATTAGAATAGGTTTTGTGTTCTTTCATTTCTAGTCTATAATCCCCACCCATGCTCCATGCGTGCACGCGCGTACACACACACACACACACACACCCTGCAGCCTATAATCCTCCCTTATGCCCCTATCCTGTTGATCTTTCTTCACTTAAAAATTATCAGCAAAGAACTTATTCATTTGGGAGAATTCCAGGCACTGCATTTATGTTCAGTTCAAATGAAATGGGATCCAGACTTTTCAAACTGTGCTGTTGTGCAGATAAAACACAAAGGCAGGACCTCATTATCTGGAGACGTGGCCCTTTCTTTTCTCCTCCTGCCTTTTGTTTCTAAGCAATTTTAAGCTTGTTTGGAAAGTCTCATAACAGGGGCAGCACTTTTTTTCACCACATCTATTTCAGGAGGGTTTTTAGTTAAGAATAATGAATTTATCTCTAAACAGATGGAAGAGTTTTACTAAAGCTAGAAAAGACACTTTTCCTAATATGCCCTATAGGCTGATCTTAATCCTCTTGTTGTTAAAAATGCTTGGTCTATGAGTCTTACTTATGTGCCAAATGTCTTTATTAAATCATTACATGAACATACAAAAAATCCTATTACAATGAGTTGCTCTGTATGATCAAAAGTTGCCCACAGTATTGCTGATCGTCTACTTATTCCAAAATTGAAAGAGGTGAAATCCCAGCAAAGCCCAATGCTTGGCCAAGGGTTTCCAAATGTACTGTGCTGTGACCAGAGGGGTTACTTGGTCCTAGGTGGGAACAGGGCTACGTTCTCTCAAGGCAGAAGTCCCTAACCAAAAGAAAACTATGAAAAATACACGGCCCATTCCCCACAGAAAGAAATCGCTGGCAACACTGTGATATGATTGGGCCTGCAGAAACACCATGGACCTCTGATACCCACTTGGGATTTCAAAAACCCAAGCGGCAAATTCAAAGTCACATTGTACCAGTGAATCCAGGGTCGTGGGCTAGGAAAAGAGTTTAAAAGTTAGGAGAAGTGAAGCTTGGTGTTTTTGTGTATTAAATTTCGAAAGGAAACTAAAAAAAAATAATAATAAATAAATAAATTTTTGAATGCAAAATTAATGCAAGTTCATTCTAGAAGGGAAATTCACTCATAATTCTACCACTGAGAAAACATGAGTGTTTTGGATCTCAGACTTGTTTCTGCCTTCATGTGGAGGCTCAGGGTAGGGTGTAGTCTGGAGACATGGGGCCTAGTGGACATTAGGACAACCTAAAAAGAGAAGAGAGCAAAGTTGGATTGTCCAAGGACTATGTCCTGTCAGGGGCATTTGGAGAGCTAACAGAAGAAAGTCCACGGGGGTTTCCAGATGAAGCGGCAGACACAGCGGGACTGTGTGTGACTTAAGATCTGGGGTAGCACCAAGAGGTGACAACAGAGGTGGGATGGACAGACGGACGGATGCGCTGATGTTGGAGAGAGAAGGGAGAGCATGAGAGCTCGGCCCTGGAGATAAACTAAGGCTTCTTTAGCCTTTCCAAGATTACTCACCCGAATTACCTTTCTTGCTTATTCCAGATGCTTAGTATCTCATATTATCACTAAGGACCTGCTCTGGTAAAAACAAACATTTGGGAAGTCAGGGTGATTTATCTCTTTTCCCTTTAATTGCAATTGTGATGTCCTCATGGCCTGGCCTTACGTAGGGTGGGCTTCGATTAGCCCCTGGCTGAGAGACCCATGCTCACTTAGTGATGGCAGCTAGGCCTGCCTCTAACCATAGTCTGTTCTTTGTGGGACATGCCCCTTGCATTTCTCCAACGGAAGTAGTGGTTATGCTGGGCCATCTACGCGTTCTTGCCCCGGGCCCCTTATGACACACATTGGTGAGACAACTGGCCAGGATTAGGGGTACGATCTGTGACCCTGCGACAATGTGAAATTAGTTGGCAATGAGGGAGTGGATTCCATGAAAATCATAAGCATCGTAAGTACTCTAATATAGGACCCTCTCTGCCACAGGTGTGCACCTGCCTCCCGACCATAATGATTTTTTCCAACAAAAGAAGCAACATGGAGCAAACGTACAAAGAAACTTTTTCTAAATACCGGTGCCTTTGCTTGGGGTCTTACCCAGCCACAGGCTGCAGGTAGGGGTGTGCGTGTCAGCGGAGAATTGAAAAAGATTGTCAGCCTTTGTTTTCAGTCTGCCCAGGTTGGAGAAAACAAACTGCATAGTGAGGGCAGAACTGGTGAGTGAGTGAGTGAGTGGGTGGATGAGTGAGTGAGTGGGTCCCTCCTCCCACTGTATTAAAAAGCTGCAGCAGCCCCAAGTTTGGGCTTTACGTCATAGTTTGACCCTGGCGAAAGAGACTGTGCGTTAAAACCAAACCAATTCTAAGTTTAAAACTATACATTGAAAAGCCCTTTCTTCTAGCACATCAGCACAAAGAAGAATATGCTACATACCATCTTCGAAAGCACCCTCATGCTTCTAGATTGCCAAATCCCAGCTGCCTGAGCCAGTGCGACTAGGGGCCAGGGGTGCTGAGCCAAGCGTTGAAAGCACGCTGAGTCCTGAGCTCCAGTTCATTCTTCCTGAGATGGGGGACTTGGCTGTGAAGCCACAGGAGGCTGCAGGGGTAGAGGTTGGGGGCAGGAAGAGGAGGAAGTGAGCAGGGGGCATGCCTGGGAAGGCTCGGGGAGAGTAACCAATCCCTTCACTGGAGGCAGGTGGGTGTCTCCAGGGTCATTATCGAGCAACCTGTGAAGGCAACTGGAGGAAAGAGATTTCCGGAAGTCTCCCGCTCTCCCTCCTGCCTGCTTCCCTCCTTCTCCTAGCGGTTGATTGCAAGGAGCGGCGGAAGGAAGGATGTATCAAACCCAAAGAAGAAAGAACCCCTGCCACTCGCCCCCACGACGCTGACTCTGAACTGCAGCAATGTGGTGGCAGCCGAGTGTGGCAGCATTCACAGCCCCGGTAGTGGGGGCAGAAGGCAAATCAGATTCCGAAAGGGGCTGACTGTTTCCTTTAGCCCGGTAGGCACAGGGTCCATATCAAAGGGAAAGAGAGCAGCAAGTCTGCAGCAATCTCACATCAGGTCCCCGACAGAGGGGTGCGGGGTGGGGGTGGGGCCCAAGTCCCAAAAGATGCCAAAACCAGCTGAGTTTCTAGACCTCATTTCTGTGTCTCTTCCTCTGCACCAAGAAGCAAAGTACAGTCAGAATCCCTCTGTTACAATTAGTCCAGAGCAGGGCCGAGCAGTGGGTCATCTTGCATGCCCCGAAGCACAACTTTTCGTTTATCCTGCTTGCTTTTCACCTGCATAGAATTCCCCCTAGGGGAGGGTGGGTCTTTACAAGCACTAAAAATGAGTTTTTATCCCCTGTACACAGGAAAATGCCAGAACAAGCATCAGAGCTTTTCCCGAGATAAACGATGGGCCCCCAAACTTGCACACAATCAAGGGACAGCTGGTGACACCAGTGACTGTGCTTCTCTTTCTAGCTCCTTCACTGACTTGGGCAAATCTTATAGGGCAGCCGAGCATCTAGATCCTGAATTCTCACTTAGACCAAGAAAGGCCCAGCTAGGGAGAAATGAGGTGGTCGCAATACTTAGGATGAAAAGGGATCACTTGGTGGTAGGAATATCTATCTATTTCCGCACGTCCTTGTCCTTGAAGTTGGCCTGGGAAAGGAGTGTCAGAGAGTGCGCTGGAACTGGTCCTTTCTGATGTCCGCCCCATTCCCTGTTGATAACATGTCTCCAGGCCCCACATCTCACTGAGAGGAAATATGACTTGTTTTGAGGCGTCCTCGCGCCTCCATATTTTTTTTGAGCCTTTCTGTGTCTGCCGTGAAGCTGTTACTATTGTTGCATTCCCTCTTTTTTCTGTTTTCTGTGAAAAAGCTGTGGAGCTTTCAAAAACTGGTGACCACCAGAAAGGGACAGAAAAGACAAAGGAATCTTTTGTTTGCTCTCTGTGGGGTGTTTCACTGCTATTTGGTTTCTCTTTCCTATGGAACCCTAATAAAATTTTGTGTGGAGATGAGGGGACCTTTTGTCTGTGGTGAGGGGACAGCTATGTGAGGTGGAAGCGATTTGTTTTCTGTTTTATGTCTTGTAACTTTTCATTTTTCTGTGCCACTTCACTGTGAAAGAGCTATTGCTTGCTCACTCAGTCATTCAACAAACTTGTTTCCAGTATATGCTTTGAGAGGCATAGGCTGAACGCTGTCTTTAAAAGGTATGTTTCCCTGAAAATCGCTTTCCCACCCCCAGGGCCTGCCAATCTTTGGAGAGAGTGCTTCTTTGAGAAAAGATGAGCAGAGTACAGATCCACCCAAAGAATGCGTCTCGCATCTCCACTCTTCCTGACCTAGAGGTCATGGCAGGCATCCTCTGAAACACAGGAGCTGCAAAGGCTCCAGCAGGGGATGGCGGGCATGAATTTGGAAAATACTAGTAGCAGCCTCTCGTGGAGGCAGCTCCTCTGGTTCATAGGAAGCTTTCACGCTGGAGCAGAGCAAGCGTTAGTTAATATGGGGATTAGTCAGGCAGGAGCTCAAACCCATGGTCCCTCCTTGCTGGGCTCTGTGGTTAGGCCTGGGGAAAAGTGCCTAAGACCAGCCACCTGATTACTGGGCAGCACAGCAGTGCTCGCGAAGCGCTGGACACACAGTGCATTTCACAAGAGTTAGCCATGGCTCACACTTGTAATGTCTGTGACACACATCCCAAAAAGGTCAGGTCCCCTACAGGACACACAAGGACAGCATCCAAATCTTGTTCACCTGGCTTAGTCTTCCTGTCAGGTGCTCACCTGGTGTGCTCCTCCATTCACAAAACGGAACGAACAGAAACGGAAAGATAATTTAAAAAAGTCAGAAGAACTATTATTTTAGGGACCAAGTGTGGTTTCAAAACGGGGTTATTTCTGTTCCTGGGGGTGTTTCCTTGGACCCAGAATCAGCATTAAAGCAATCGCACGCGTGCGCGCACGTGCACACACACACACACACACACACACGCACACACACACACCCCTCCACCAAAACTAAACTGGCTTTCAAGTTTTGATCCTTGTGACATTTATCCTCAGAAGTGATGGGACCCACAATTAGAGGACCCAGGACTGAGTTAATCTTTGAGGGACAAATTGTGGCACATTCTGCTTTCTCAGGCTGTTTTACATCTAAATGTCTTTGTCAGTGATTTATGATCTTCTGTGATTGTTTATTTAGTTTCCTACATCTTTAAAAAAGAAAAGAAAAGACAGCTTTTAGGGTCAGCCTTCATGAACAGTGGCTGGATATCTCCACAGTGTCAGCCAGCTTCTGGCTTCTGCTGTGACCCAAGCATGATGACCAGGAATGTGACATGCCCTCAGCCAGCCAGTCACAGGTCACGTCCAGATATGCCCCGTCCAGATACGCTCCTCCTGCCATTCGAACGAACTAGGGTTCTGGGACAAGGTGGGGGGTAGGGGTGGGGGTGGGAGTCAGAAAACCTGGCTGATTCAAATGGATTTCCTTCCACTCTTCATGTTCAAGCATTCTGAGTTTGAGAAAAACCCCAAACACTTGGAGCCCCCAGGCACTTTTTCCATTCATTTTTTAAACTGATGTGTATGTCAAGGGAAATTTAATACACAGGTTTCTGATCCATTTACACTTAACTCATCAAAATATTGTTCTGTTAAGAGGCATTTGGTGTCCAAAAAAATCTTAAGAGCCTTTTTATAAGCTTTTAACCTTCTTTTTGACTTTGAGAAACGCAAGTTGCAAGTCTCCCCAGTGTAAACAGGAGCCAGTCTCTGGTGGGGGGAGGGGAGAAGGCAGAGTGGGAGGGAGGTGGGAAGAAGGTGCCAGGACCCACTGACCTCAGCCCTGGAGAGGGACAGGAACCCGGAGCCCAGGGCTCTCCAATCCCCTCCTGGCGCTCACTGTCTCACCCACAATCAGGGAAAAAAACGATTGATGGTTCCACCTTTTTGAATTCTGAAGGTAAAGGCAAGCTCTTTTAGGGGTCTTGCTGTTGGCAGAGAAAGCTCCCAAGTGTTCTAGGAGAAGGATATAAACTCCCAAAATTTTACTTCCAGGCAAGACCCCCCTTTTTTTTCCCCTTCAAAGAAAGTGCTCATAATGTGTCCTTTCATTTATAATTTTATGAAGGTCTCAATTGAACATGTAAAGAAAGTGGAAAAACTCTAAGTTGCCATGGATGTTTGGCATTTTTCCCCACTCTACTAAAATCTACTTTCTCCCCCAAGTGAAGTAGTTTCAGAGATTCCTATAAATGGGGGGAGGGGGGAAGGACAGTGGGGCAGCTGTGTGGAATCAGAGTCCTCAAGGAATACATTTGTATTTTAATTATTGGAGTATAATCTGCATAGGTTTTCACCCTATTTCACTTGGCTTCCTAGGTTAAAAGGAAATTGCCTTACATTTCACAATGCCCATAACTTCGCAAATGGGCGCTCACATGTTTTATCTCGTTTCACCAACAGATCTGCAACGTGGCAAATGTGGCGGAGCCTAGCATCTCTTGTTTAGGTTTGAGTGTTTGTTGTGTATTGTTTTTATTTTTCTGGTTTTCTAAAAACAGGAAAAAAACTCGAGAATAAAAGAAATCGTGGGTGATAAAGATACTGTTCTGTTTTTGGATTTTTTTCCCCCCCTTAACCCTCATAGTTTCAAGAAAATACAGACAGCCTTCGAATTCAGAAACGGTGCCAAGAAAAAATGTTAGGTGACACTTGTCTTCAGAATGAGGAAATATATTATTAAGTAGAGGCTTCTTTTTTTTAATTTATTTTTTTGGTCTAAGAACAGTTACTGGCATTAGCCATATCTGTTTTTCTCTTGCCTTATTTCGAAACAGATCCAGGCCTCCTAAAATCTGATGCTTTACTGAGATCGAGACCTATTGTCTTCTACTCTCTTACATGACATCAGATGCAGAGACCAAGATCTTTCATACACTCTAAAAGTTGGCCAAGAAATAAGGCGAGCTGAAGGCTAAGCCAGGCAGAACCCTAATCACAAGAGCGCAGGGAGAAGGTGTGTTACGAATCGTGTGCTTACCTGTGGGTTCAATGCCAGTAGAGATTCTGTGTGCCCATCCTTGGCAAGGACCTTCCCCATAGACCTTCTTAAGACACACATTTCATGATCTGGTCAAATGCACGTTGCTGCCAGCCTACTGGGTAAGGAACGTCTGGTGCTTCCGTGTTGTCTGATGTGATGTGGAAATTTTTCAGGAAATTGGATTTAGAAATTCTTCCAGAAGTTCTGAAGGGAACATGAAAAACATCCTTCTGAAAAACAGGGGAGACTTCCAACTACTCTCAGATACTTATCTCCCACTTATTATTTAAATGTCTCTTTGTTTGAGTCAAATTTCCAATAGCATTATTATTATATTCCCTTCAACTATAGTTTATTTTCACTGTGGTAAAGTCTTTGTATTTAATTTTTTTTCTTCTTTCAAAAGCTAGCATGGCTTGTATAGCTTTATAACTGCTTTTGCTTTTTTTTTAAAAAAAAAATGTTTGAATGTTTAATTTTACAGAATTCCCCCAAAGCTTAGGGGTGAGGTGTGCCTCTTACTGTCATGAAATATCATCGGTGCTATAATCTCCAAAATTGTTGTTGTGTTACCTGAATTATCTGTCAGCAAAGCAAATTCTTGTCCATGGAGGGTAAGGCTACACATATTTCCAGCAAGTTTTATCTTTTCTTCCTTGAATCAAAGTTCCTGTTAAAAGAAAAATCAACTGATGTGATGAATTACCTTCTGTTAGATTTATGGTCATTCCATTTCATTGTCACAACTGCCCCATTACATAACTGATTAAACTATGACTTAAAGAAGCCATTTGATGCAAATATCGATTAGATAGACCAATAAAGCTGCTTATCAGGTTACTTGAAAATGTTGTCTGGACAATCTCCTTGTGATGTTTGTGTTGACCCAGCATCAGAAGAGGGACTTCTGATAACAGAACTGGTCATGATTTCTTTGACATAGGGTTTTCTGGTGTTTTTTTTTAAGTTCATAGAAATAATTCTGATACCCAGAGGCATGTTTGCTCATCTTAGATATGTATGTATACTTCTAGTTATTATTTCTTCATTGATTCACTCACTTAATGAATCCTCACAATTGGCTGGATAAGGCTGGAAACAAAAATGAAAGAGACAAGGTAACTGATTGTGGGTGTAGAATCCAGTAGGGGAGTGAATATACAGAAAAATTATGAGGAAACCATGTAAGAAGCTCTAATATAGACGTTTTGCAAAAACACTTAGCTTTATCTAATGACTTTCAACCTGGACATAATTTCCTATTTAGAAAACTGGTATCCAATTTTACTAAGAGGGCAGAAGAACGTTCATGGCATGTACAAACACACCTCCGAGTTAACATCTTTTCTGGGCTATAAACGTCACTTCAGGTAGGTCTTTGGTTTTGCCATAAAACATAACATTAGCCTAATTTAAACTATGACTGCTGATTCTGGAAATACGCAAATGATGCCAAAAGGTACGCTTCATTTTCAATTCCCTCATGGCCCTCAGTTACCAGGAGAGGAGAGAGTCAATTTCCAGTTTAGTTTCCATCTTATAACTTTATTTGAACACTGAACATTGTTTTTTCATTATAGTTAGAGCTACAGTCCTAAACCTCTCTTATAACAATGGTAGGAGTCCCTTCCCCAAATTGCCCTTTTCTTTCTGGACCATTAAACAAGCAGAAAACACTAATTAAAGGGTCATTAGCTTGAGGATGAATAATTATACTTAGATTTACACATTGCCATTTATGTTCAAAGAACTGCTTAGGCATCAACTAATTAATCTACAAATGAAGAATACTTCCAGCATTGCTGTGTAATTAGACAACTTCACGAGGCAGCAAGAGGGTTGCCAAAGGGGGTGTTATACACTTTTGAAGGTTTCCATGTCATTTATTTTTTTCATTGCTCAGGTAAAATGGTCAGACCTGAGTCCAACTGCCAGCTCCTGTTTACAAATAAATTCTTTTTTAAAAGACCCAAGTTATATAGCTGATGAGGAGTTGGAAATAAAAACAAATGAATAGCCAAACGTATTGCATTTATCTGAGCCTTTTGGGTTGTTTTTTAAGACTTTATTCCCCATGAACAGTGAACCTAAGTGAGTCTGTTTCATGATAGGTGGTAGACTGTGCCTTTTTTCTTTTCTTCACAGCAAAAGTTATTGCTCTGTGTGTGTGTGTGTGGTGAGGATAGAAAATTAATACTTCTTTCAGGCCTTCGTTTTCTGTGTTAAGAACAACTCAGAAAGGACAAATCCTAAATATATATTGAGAAATCGACAAAGAGCATTTTGCAAATGTTTTGGGAAGCAAATGTTTATTGTCATAAAAATCATTTATTTCTATTTATTTTTTGGAAGTTGGAAGTCTCTTTGGTGTAATGATGGATACAATGAAGTGGACTCTGTCTTTATAAATTCATGATGAAATCATTAAAAACAACAAGGACTGTGAGTAGTAACCCAAGATGGTCCTCAGTGTTGTCATCTGCAAGTTGGATGGGTGGGTACGTGGAATTAACATGTTTGGTCTCTGTGGTCCAACAGTTGCTTATCAAGCTTTCTCTGAAGCAGAGTCAGTCTTCACAGCTTTGAAAAACAGAAGGAAGTAGCACTAAGTGAATTTGGTTTAAGTTTCTTGTCTTGGTTGGTCCTTTTTTTTTGGTTGTTTTCAAATGAGCCTGTATTGAATGCTAACCTTTCTCTAATTCAGCAGCTAGCTTGTATATGAAAATTTAATACTTTGGGGGAAATTTTCCTCATGGAGTTTTAAACTTGTAGCTCTGTACTATTTGTCATAACTTCTCCCCCCCCCCACTTAGGCACAGTAAAGTAAGGTGATGATCTGTTTTTAAAGTATAGTTTGGTGAATGGCTGTCTTTGGGAGTAGTAACCTAATTTTTTTCACTATGAATATGTAGTTTCCAACCTGTGAAGACGAGCACAGATTTACCATGCCACACTGTGATATTGTGATATCACATAGGCATTGTGATATGAAATTTGGAAAGTTGGGATTGTTAGAAGAGCCAGAAAGCACAGATTGCACTCAGTTTGGACAAAGATAAACAGAAAACATGCATGCTTTCTTAAAAATGAAATCAGAGATTAAATGAGTTGATGGAATCAAGCCTAGACATCCACATAAGCCAGAGTGGAAAATTATGGACTAAAATACATCTGATATCAAAGAGAATGACTCTCTCCAAATACTCTCACTTTTTATTTGAATCAGGGATTCTTTCTAAGCTTAGCAACCCCTCAGATTTTAAAAAGGAAAATAAAAATCTTCAAAACAGCCGAGCTCTCAACCAACCCTTTTGTGATTTTCAAATGATCAAATTTGAAACTTTAATCATCTCACACCTAGAGATTAAAAAAAAATATTATTATTATGTATGTTTTAAATTGTGAAGCATATTCACAGACAAAATAACTCATGAACAATCGGCCTAAACTCCCAACACTCCCTATTCTGTTATCAAATCAAGAAAGCCAATTTTGCTTTGGGATTTTAGAGTGTCCCCAGTAGCCCTAAAATGTATGCAGTGTTCATCTTGCAGTTATAATCACTGGTCTCTTTTGAGATGTACTTAAGCCCTTGCTTATGTAAATAAATCCATTCATTATTTGGGAAATGGGACAAATCCTTTTCCATATGGAACCTTTCTTTCTGGGCCTCATGATGACTTGAGAGGGTGGTTCACAAAACCCACGGATCCCACTCTGTGAGTCTGTTTTACAGAAGCAGTAGGGTACGTGACATGTGGGCTTGAAATACATTTGGGAAGTATTTAGGAGCTAAAAGAATGCCTTTTGAGAGTCGCTGGTGGCCTTTGAAATAATTCACAGAAAGCTATCGCTGGCTAAGATTGCTTTTGAAGGGGAAATACAAAAACAATATAACAGAATTCATCTCTTAGGGAATCTAGTCTTGATTCTCTCGGAGTTACTAACACTAATGTCGTGGTCCTTTCTTCCTCAAAGATAGGATGGCATTGGTTAAAAATCAGAAGTCTGTGAATTAGCCACAGAACTAGAACAAATAATTCTACAATTGATATAGAACCACAAAAGGCCCCAAATAGCCAAAGCAATCTTGAGAAAGAAGGACAAAGCTGGCGGTATCTCACTACCTGGCACCCAATTATACTACAAGGCCATAGTAATCAAAGCAGTATGGTACTGGCACAAAAACAGACACATAGATCAATGGAACAAAATAGAGAGCCCAGAAACTAACTCACACTTATGTGGTCAACCAATCTATGACAAAGGAGGCAGAAATATACAGTGGGCAAAAGACAGTCTCTTCAATAAGTGGTATTGGAAAAACTGAACAGAAACATACAAAAAATAACACAGGACCACTTTCTTACACCATATACAAAAATAAACTCAAAATAGATTAAATATTTAAACGTAAGCTCTGAAACCATAGAACTTCTAGACGAAAACATAGGCAGTAAAGTCTTTGATATTGCTCTCAGCAAAATTTTTTTTTTTTGGCTATGTCTCCTTGGGCAAGGGCAACAAAAGAAAAAATAAAC